TTATAATCTTGTTTTTACTGGGAAGGGAACAAAGCGCAGATGAACAGTACAGTAATTTCTTAGTGGGAGATATATGTACCTCCTGCTAACAAAAGCAGAGGGTTTTTTCTTCATTTAAGAATTTTATTTTTTTTTTCATTGACTTAATCTTTTCTATGAAACATGTCCTCTTATTTCTGTCCTCTGTGATGAAGTTAACTCATGACTGCTCTCTATTACTCTAATTTAGCTATCTCCAGTATGCTAATTTAGTTGACTTGCACAATTGAATATTATTTTAATGTGTATTTCTACTGTGTTGCAGCCTTAGTCACCAAGGGTTTATTTAGTGTATCTATATTATTTCAAAACATGTTCTGATAAATCTCACAGCAGGAGAAGTGGAAGGTGTAGGGGTCCTCCACACACATGAAGGAGCACTGAGGCATGATAGCAGATGGAGAACCCAATAACTTGAGCAAGAGACACGAGCCCTCCAGGCAGTTGTCCCAGGGGAGCCTTCAGCCCCATGGGATGGTGTGACACCCATAATGAGTCCATGGAAGATGTTTTCCTCAATCACCTTTTGGAGTGAAAGACCTCACTGTCTAGGGGTGTGAGACTGTCCTGGTTTGAGTGAGTGGAGCAGATTTTGGTAGCAGGGGAGGTAGCAGTGACCTGTGAGAAGCTTCTTGAAGCTCAACTCCAAGTCTGACCTGCCATTGCATCAAGGCCGAGCCAGTTAGCTGTACCTCTGTGATAATGTATTTAAGAAAGGAAACCTGGGAGGAGTTTTGGGAGTTGTGAGGAGAAGTCGGGAGGAGAACATCTGTGCAAACACTGGATGTGGAAGTTAGTGGAAGAAAGGAGAAGTTGGGGAGATTCACCAGAGCAGAGACTCCCACGTATCCTGTGGTGAGATGGCAGGACTATCCCCCTGCCACCATGGAGGTCATGGTGGAGCAGACACCGCTTTGCAGCCTGTGGGGGAACCATGCCGACCCAGATGAGTGTGCCCAAAGAAGGCCAGGACCCCATGGGAAGAAGGCCCCGCTGTTGTAGTTCAGTGCTAGGAGGATTGCAACACACAGGGTTGACCCACACACCTGTGGGAGTGAGTCATGTTGGAGCTGGTTTGTGGAGGACTGTCTCCTGTGAGAGGGGGACCACGCTGGAACAGGGGAGGAATGACAGAAGTTCCCCACAGAAGTGGTGAGACTGACTGCACCCCCATCCCCTACCCCCTGAGCTGCTGTGGGAGGGGAGGTAGAGGTATCAGGAGCAAAGCTGAGCCTGGGAAGAAGGGAGGGGTGGGGGAAGGTGTTTTCAAGATGTGGTAATGCTTCTCACAGTCCTACTCTGTCTGTTAAGTGTTGTTGTTAATGTCTGTATTAAATTTTATGTTTTTTTCCTTCCCCTAATGAATCTGCCTTTTGCCTGTGTCTTAAAAGATGAACTCATCCCTCCTTGTCCTTATCTCAAGTTCCTGGGTCTCTTTTTTCCCTCCTTCTCAGAACTGGGGGGAAAGGGGGCAGTGAGTGGCATCTTCGCTTCTTTTCCCCTTCTCAGCGCTTGGGGGGAGGGGGGAGTGAGCATCTGTCTGATGCTTAGTTGTCATCTGAGCTCAAATTATGACATATGGGATGCAGGGAAAGAGCCTTTCAGGATTCTACAAGAAGTTATGGGATTTCTGTGAGGAATCAAATATGGGGAAACTATCGGATCAAGTTAGAACAAACATGTGAAGGAGGGGGATAAGGGTTCAAGAGCACTGGTCACATGCAAATCATACAAACAAGATGCTGGTCAGGCCATGCCCTGCACCCAGTCAGTTCAGTTTGTCCTGTCATCTCATTGAATTGCATTTCCAATTCCTTTCCTGCATGAGAGGACTGTTCAGTGCGAGTGTGTGTGTGGCAGTCATGCTGGAATGAGATCAGGAGGTCTGTCTGTCTGTCTGTGCTGCCAGCAACTAGAGGCCAATGATCCTGCATGTTGAGTTGGTGGATGTGCGCCAACATGTGATTTCTGGTGAAAATCATATGGACTATGTGGCAAGTAGAAGAAGAGATTTTGGAGTCAAGTATTGGAAAGACTGTAAGTCTTGGCCCGACACTGGAAAAACAAAAGGATCAGCAAGTTGGTTACTGGAGAGGCCAGGAGGTCCGAGTCAGCTAATGGGGTGACTGTAGAGATAGAGTGGTCACCTACTGGTAAGGTCATGGGCCTGTCCAGCCACTGGCAAGATTCTTTTGTAAATGTGTGTCCCTGTGTGTGACGAGATGAGAGGATAGAGGTAGAGATTGGGTGACTGTAGTGATCTATAGTACATGGGAGTGTGTATATGTGTGTGTGTGTGTGTGTCTGAGTTCTAGAAACAGGAGAGGGGCTGTGGGGTTCTGTGGCTAGCATTCCTAGATGTCAGCAAGTGGGAAGAAAATGAGGACACAGGGGCCAGCAACTGGATACTGCTACTGAGGACTGAGTAACGTTTCTGGCTGCAAAAGACCTTAGAGTGTTTTGGAGTCAGCTCTGGAAGCAGGAAGGGAACGGACCCTGCCATCCTCCATTATTAAATGCTTTTTCCTCATCTCATGGCTGTGTCACATGGCTGAAGCTTGCCTGCTTCACTCCTCCACCACAAAGAGGATGGTGAGATCACATCAAAGTATGGCACGAGTGATAAAGCCAGAATTCCTCTTAATCCCCATGGTGGCTATTTTATGTCATCAGACCTACAATTTTATTTTCTTAGTTGAAAGCTATTATTACTTAATAGTTCTATTATAAAAGTACCTGCAGGTCCTGCTTTAGGACTGGAGACTGGCTACGATAGGCATTGCCTTTGGAGAGAGACAGATTTAGTTTCTGCCTAAAGACACTTTGGTCAATGGACAGGCTGGTACCTGAAGAAAGCTATTACTGGTCCCAAAATCACTTAACCTCTTTTCACATTCTCCACTTTTGTTTTAAGCACACAGAAGCAAAAAGTTTGTCTCTAGCTATGAAAAAAATGAAATCCTAGCTAGATCTTTAAGTAATGTAAATACTTATGTGCATATATTTATATTTAATGGTTTTGATTCTATATTTGTTATCCTATATGTGAAAAAGGAAGACCTAATTATGATTCATTATATAGTAGTCCTTTTTCACTCAAGGTTTCTAACATTTATTTTCTATAATATACCTCATGATTTGCAAATATAATAAATATATATTGCTTTCTAAAGTCAGTCAACATATTTGTGGCTGAAATATCTGCCATTATGTTTTTCAAATTTGCACACTAATGTGCTACCATTTACTGTAAAAATGACACTGAAAATGAAATACTATAGTCATTTTATCATTGTTAGTTAGAGACGTTAGTCAAAAGGCCAAAAGAGCAGGGGAGAAAAAAGGCTTTGTGGTGAACAGTGTGAGCCAACTGCATGATGCACAGCTAAGTGGGAAGCCTGTGCAGATTCTGAGAAGTACTCTGAACCGAAGGCCACAGGATGGAGGGTGACATATGCTTATGCAGGTGAACAGGCAGAGCTTGCAGCATGTCAAAACACCTTGAGATAGCTAAGAAATCCCATTAACAAACTCTCAGCTGCAGGGCTGTGAAAAGATGAGGTACAATAAGCATTGATGGGAAACCTCAGGAAAAGGAATCAGAAGAAAAAAATTAGTTTAGAGTGAGAAGTCAGATGACCCACTTAGTTGACAGTGGTTTAGCCTGCTCTCTTAAATAAATGGAACAGAAGCAATAATTCATCATTGTTTTACCTCCTCGTCTCTCTTGTGACCCCTGAATGTATATGAGCTCTCTGACTCCTTCTTTCATGATTCTATTTGGACACGAAATCTGATTATTCATGCATGAAATGATTAATTTCTGTTTTAACTTACGGAGTATCCTTTGCCACATCAATGCTGTGATTAGAAAAGCTCTTCACTGCATAAACAGCTTAAAGTTGATAATGTTATAATTAACACCTAAATGTATACAGGTATAAGTGTATCAAACAGAATAATGTGGCAATGAGACCATTCACACCAGTTGTCTAAACTGTATTGGAATTTTCTACTTTTGTTCCTTTTTGGAAAAAGCTTGTTCATGCAAATCAAATAATTCTATGAAAACTCATCAGTTTTAAGAAAAAATATAATTGGAAAATATTTCTTAACTCTATCATAAACATTTTTTTCTTTCTTTTTCACACTAAGGTAATAACAAGATGTGGTGGGTTGACCCTGGCTGGATGCCAGATGCCCACCAAAGCCACTCTATCACTCCTCTCCTCAGCTGGACAGGGGAGAGAAAATATGAAAGGCTCATGGTTGAGAAAATACCAGGGAGAGACCCCACTCAGTAATTACTGTCATGGGCAAAACAGAGTCGACTTGGGGAAATTAGCTTAATTTATTACCAATCAAATCAGAGTAAGATAATGAGAAATAAATATAAATCTTTAAACACCTTCCCCCCACCCCTTCCTTCTTCCCACTTAACTTCTCTCCTGATTTCTCTATCTTCTCCCTTCCAGCAGCACAGTGGGGCAAGGGATGGGGGTTGCAGTCAGTTCATCACCACTTGTCTCTGCTGCTTCCTCCTCCTTAGGGGGAGGACTCCTCACTCTTCCCCTGCTCCAGTAAGGGGTCCCCTCATGGGAAACAGTCCTCCATGAAACGCTCCAGCATGGGTCTTTTCCATGGAGTACAGTCGTTCAGGAACAAACTGCTCCAGCATGGGTCCCCCATGGGTCACAAGTGCTGCCAGCAAACCTGCTCCAGTGTGGCGTCCTATCTTCACAGGTCCACAGGTCCTACCAGGAGTATGCTCCAGCATGGTCTTCCCACAGGGTCACAGCCTCCTTTGGGCATCCACCTGCTCCAGCACAGGATCATTCATGTGCTGCAGGTGTGTCTCTGCTGCACCATTAACCTCCATGGGCTGCAGGGACACAGCTGCCTCACCAGGGGCTGCACCACGGGCTGCAGGGGAACCTCTGCTCCAGCCCCTGGAGCACCTCCTGCCCCTCCTGCTTCACTGACCTTCGGGTCTGAAGGACTGTTTCTTTCACAGGTTCTCATTACTGTTCTACAGCAGGGTGTTTTCCCTTGTCTTAAATATGTTAGAGGCACTACCACCATCACTGATGTGCTCAGTCTTGGCCAGCAGCGGGTCCAACTTGGAGCCAGCTGGCATTGGCTCTGTTGGACAAAGGAGAAGCTTCTAGCAGCTTCTCACAGAAGTCACTCCTGTAGACCCCTTGCTACCAAAACCTTGCCATGCAAACCCAATACACAAGATAAACAGAAGATCCGGGCATAAGTCTCCTCTCAGTGTCTCTGAAGAGGGACCCGAAAAGGATATTCTGTATCACAGTTAAGTCCTATGTATTTTTCTTTCATATTTTGAAAGTTTATTACCATGATGAAGAACAAGAATATTTGTTAAGATACGAAAGTCATGGGTGGAAAAATGATTCTCCATTCTCTTCCAAATCAACTGAACACCGAGATTTGCTACATGTAAAAGGTAGCCTACTACAGAGCGATTTCAGTCTTGAAACCATGTCCACTGAGACCACAGCAACCATTTATCCTTGCCATGGAACTATAATACCTTGCAGAAATGACATGGAGAAAAAAACAAATGAAAACCCAGATATATTCATACATGATCCACATTCAGGTTTTAAACTGATTAAAATAATCATAAACTGCTGTGATACAGAAGAGCATAATTGATAAGGAAATTTTCTAAATATTTTCTTCGATCTTTATGAGATATTGTATGTAGAACAGTTATTTGATAATAATATAGCTGCATCATGGATAAAAAGATGTACACATTCTCTAACTGGGGAAAATGAGGTGAAAAATGTAATGCTAATACTTTCCTGATTATAAAATGATTGCCCAGTTACCAAATATAGCAAAAGTCTAAGGGAAATCTATTTGCTATTCATCTTCAAGTGTTAGGAGTGTGTCTCTTTCTAACACAAACATGAATTTACATCACACAGATGTCATTCTGAATAAGGAGAATTTGTCCTGAAAGAGTTTAGTAATGTAGCTGTAAGACTCCTAGATAATTTGTGGGTGTGGATGGGGATAGGGGCGTGCCCACATATCTCCTTCATATCTACTTGGTGTGTTTTTTTTCAGAAATAAACCTAACTACATGAATTAAATCCAAGTCATGTTGTTCACTTAGATTTAGTAGTCAAATTGCTTTTGATTCCAGTGAAGGAAAAAATAATTAAAATCTAGTACTAGGGAAAAACAATGAGTTAAATGGTCATTTTTGTTTATAAGGAGAAGATGAAAATCAAGTCAGAACCTAAATGGTTTGTTGAATATTTATTTTACTCCAAAAAAGAAATAAATTAATTTGCTTCTCAGTTGCCTGCCATTTTTCCTTCCCTCAATTATATAAATGGAACTTTTTGATTTTACCACTATATGAAACTGATAAGCAAAAGACTTTTTTTTTTTTTTTTTTTTTTTTTTTTTTTTTAAACAGAATTATTTCAGATATTTGGTTTACTTCAGAGTTTCACAAACAGTTGGCACAACAGAGAATACTATAGCTTCTTACATGGATGCAGGAATGAGTGTCCAACTGTTCTTAAAATGCTTTTTCCACAAGAGAAAACACACTGTTGAATGACACCCTTTGGTACCATGTCTGAACAAGGATAAAAAGAAAGTGGGATACACTCCAGTCTTGGTTGCCCAGTGTACATTTCAAAACATGTTAGTATACTGACATAGATGGAATTATTTCACACATAACACGATGTAGCTGAAACTTTATTTTTGTTCAAACCAAAATCTGACATGTAAAACAGAATTTGGAGGCTAACATTTAATTAAAAAATGATTGAATCTGTAAGCAGAAAATAATGAATTTATTTTAAACCTTTTCTCAGCACAAAATCTAAGGCAACTCATTTGTTGCACACAGTGACATGGAAAGACTAAAAGACAATATATACAATGTCATGACTTAAATGAAGGAACATGACAATAAATACCGGTTTTGAATAACACCTACAGAATATAGCAGCCATTGGCAAATTCCCATACTTCAGTGCTGCAATGATCTATGTGCCAGTATTTTAAAGATATTATGCTGATTATTTTTCACTTGAAACATACAATAAGAGACGTATCAGCCAACTCTATAGATATTTCAGCATATCCTTGACACTTTTTTGAATAAGACAGATTTTGTATAGGGAAAGTTTTCAAACTTCAGGGCTGAAAAAGGGAAAATATTTCTTGTGATTTAAGTCTTTTCCTTGACTAAAAATAAATCCCTAGAACAAGTGTAACTGTTCAGTGTTTAACAGAGCACTAGATGGGGCAGTCAAGAGAATTTTGGGGGCACTAAGAGAATTTTTTTTATGAATTCTGGTGGAATTTATGAAATGGTCCCATTGTAGAACATTTTAAGATTATGGAGGCTATAAATTTTCAGGGGTGTGATATGTTTCTCAGGATCCACAGCAAGAGACTGGTGGCTGGTCTTCAAGAAGGGATAGCCAAAATGCAAGGAAGCACTATTACAGAAAAAAAGATGCTTTGATGAAACAGTAATTTGACAAAATCAGAATAAGATGCAGGAGAAAGGAACAACAACATAGACTTTCATGTTGTTGGACTATGGAACTAGTCAAGGAAAAGGGAGGAGTTTGGATAATAAAATATATTTTAAGTGTAAAGTGCTAAGAAAAAAGAGGTTACACATTCTTCATGTCTTTTATTTGTTTCTTATCTGGCAAATTCCTGAGCTATCCACTGTAGAAAGTGTTTTCTTTCTTGAACCTGTGCATCCTTGTACGCTTCCATAATCAGACATCCCTGAAGACTTGTAAACACAGAAGTCCTACACAAGACTGGATCACTAGAAAAATTTGTAATTAATCTAGCCAAAGGATGAATTTATGAGAAAGTAGGAGGATTAAAACTAATCCCTAGGTTTAAGGCAGTTGTGAAAAGTTCCTGAAAAACGATAAAAGACCCTGCTGAAATCAGAGGGCCTAGTGCAGAAGAAGTTGCCTTTCTATATACTTGGCTTGTTTAGACATTTTACTAATTCTGTTTGGTGCAGTGCTCATGTGCTCCCAAAGTCCTGAATCAGTTAAGAATTGTTTGATTATGCTATGTTCAGTGAAGCTCCTCAGATCTGTTGACTGTTCACTTACTGAGGGATACCAGGTACTTAAAGGGCCTATACTAGGACTGGCCATAGATGGCTTATTGTTTGACTGAAGAGAGTATTAATCCTTTGCATAAAGTTGAGATAAATAAAGTTATGAGTGATATTTGAATGGATAAGAAATGTGACCATCAGTAAATACTTCTATGAATTCTTAGATACAAAAGCTAGTCAGCTATGAATTGCTGAAATGCAGATTATATGTTTATGAGGGGACAGTATATACCAAAATAGCAGTTATTTGCATTTCTGATTTCAGCAAATATTGAATTCAGAAGAAAAAACTATGCTAGAGAATAAAACTGTTCTCTTGATCAGTTGATTTTGTTTCAGTTTATTTTTAAAATCTCTAACCCATAGCTCTGACTAAAAGATTGCAGGCTACTTGTGAAAATAACCATAAAATGATACTGGCTTGCTTCAATCCCATTTTAACACGGCAAAACTAGCCGAGCCTTTGGTGGCATATTCTAAATCAGGAATTATAGTACCACCCAAGAACAAGTGACTGTTTCATTTCAAAACTGTAAGCATGTTATCCTTCTTTAATATAAACTCCCCCTGGAAGTAATACTTTGAGAAACAGATTATGATAAACCTGAGGAGATAAACAGCCTGTGAACTTTATTGAGTCAGGCTGTAAACATCTTCAGTTTCTACTCATGTCCGTGGGATCTGCCAGAGCTCAATGATTTTTGGGATCAAGTTTTGAATAGAATCATCATCAAAATACTCATCTTTCCATTTGGACAGCAGAATATAGAAACAATGTGTTTCTCTCCTGTTCAAACTGCACTGGAGATATCAAATAATTTCCTATAAGAATTATTAATTTCAAATTACAGTCACTTCTGAATATATAAACTAACTTCAGTTATCTTGTAATCTGGTTCGATACTGGATAAGGAAATGAAAAAAAAATCTATCTGTATTTGTTCCTTGGAGGAAAGAAAAATTTAAGTCTAGAGAGATGAGAGTAGGTTGACTATACTAAACTATTTTATAGTAGCAGTAAAGCGAGGAATACAAAGAATGTGGAAAACACATAAAGAAGCTAATTTATGTGAGGAAAACGCTTGAAGTGATGCACTGTCTACAAAATGAGGCTGCAGTCATAACTGCTGTTATAAACCAAAAAAACCCGTTCCTCTAAGAGATGCTACTGCTATGTTTGTAATACCTTAAAAAGCCATTTCACTATTTGTTGTGCATATTATATATGAAATAATTATACACATTCATCTTTAAGCAAATGCTGGTTTTGTCTACATTATGGTAATTTTCATATAAGGATGGAATGAATATTCATGGACATTTTAGTCAATTGGCTATAAATCTATGTAACAAGTAATTAAAAGGACATGACTTCTGTGGAAACACTTCTGAAACACTGCATGGGGGGAACAAGTATGTAGGGTAGATTACCTCTCTTACCACAGACATCCACTTTTAAAATGCATATTTTCTTCCTCCCAATATGCATAACTAATACTGAGTTAACTGAAATCTGAGATCAGGAGATTCTGATATTTCTTGGACTTTTCTGAACCTGAATTGTACTTCTTCATTTGAGTAGTCCCACTGACAGGAATAACCCTAATCGTGGAGGAATACAGTACTGTCCTTAAAACTACTGTCAAGGCAAATAATCTGTTCTTTACTTCTGAATATCAGAACACAAAATGGTTATAAATTCCAAGGTTGTATCTCTGAATATTTGTTTGCCAGGCAGTGGAAATATTACGCTAAATGGGAAGTCAAGCAAGATCACAGATTTTTTTTTTTAGTATGCAAGAGATTTTTTCCTAATGG